TAAAAACTCAACATTTGTACCCCATGAAATCTCAACAGAATAACAGGCAATTCTGTGATGCTGCAGGCAGTTTTCCAGGTGCCTGCAGGGCTGGCCAGCAGCACAACACCCTTGGGTTTCTGCATTGTGGTGACGGGACAAGGAGTAGAGAGTTCACACTGAAAGAAATCTAGGTTGGATACCTAAATTGGATACCTAAAATGGAAAAAATTCCTCCCTGTGAGGGTGGGGAGGCCCTGGCACAGGTTACCCAGAGAAGCTGTGGCTGCCCCTGGATCCCTGGAAGTGTCCAAGGTCAGGTTGGACAGGGCTTGGAGCAACCTGTGCTGGTGGAAGGTGTCCCTGCCCGTGGAAGGGGTGGGAATTAGATGAGCTTTTAGGTCCCTTCCAACCCAAACCATTCCATGACTGAGCATTACAAGTCACTGATGTCACCCAGGATGTCACTGGTGCCCCCCACCCAGGCAGACCAGGCCCTTGGGGATCACCAAACCCACCTCACTCCACCCACCTGATACCTGCTCCTGCCTCTTGCTTTCCCCAAACCAGGAACCCTAACCCCAGGCACAGTAATTAACCCAGGCTGTTGAGTCATATTTGAAAACATCTTCGCTATCCACACCCCCCTCTTCTCCTGGGAGAGCAAATAAACAGCTTGTTACCATGAAAGATTTATTACTGCCTAATGCACACAGGAAACCTGATGCACTAAGTACCAGGGAACACATTCCCAGCCCGGATTCTGTGTGGTCTCAGACCAACAGATCCAAGCAGATTTTATGCTGTTTTTTTCTTGTTGTCCATGGGAGGAAAGAACAGCTGTCACTAAAGGTTTAATCAGATGCTCTCAGAGCTGGAGCCTGAGCTCTGAAGTGCTGTACTACAGGAAACCCAGGAGCAGCAAGGACCTGATGGGAACCACCCCTGGAAGTGTTCAAGGCCAAGTTGGACAGGGCTTGGAGCAGCCTGGGCTAGTGGAAGTGTCCCTGCCCATGGCAGGGAGAGGAACTGAATGAGATTTAAGGTCTCTTCCAACCCAAACCCATTCTGGGACTCTGTGACACCTCCCTCAGTGCCTGGTGGCACTGCTAAACTCAAACCAAACTCACATCCACTTGGGGAGCAGCCACCAGATTGGGACCCAGGCTACAAGTGCTGGATGATGGATATGTAATGGCAAGATAATATGGAAAAGATTCACTGCAAAATCCCAGAGCCTGGATGATTTCCAAATTGCTTTCTTGCTCGTTCTGGTCACATCTTCAATCAAGGTCCTTATTTCATAACCAAAGGAAAATTAACTGGCAAGACATAAAGAAAAAATATTGGGAGCCTAAAAAAAATCAGCAGCATCTGTGAGCCAAGGAATTGATGGAAAATGACAATTAATCTAATGGAGCAGTGAGTCAGAGAATAATGCATGATGGTGAATCCAGAAAACTGCATTATACCGAACAAATTGCTTGGAATCTGCCCATGTATAAAATAAATGGTTTCTCTGCTAAGCCTAATTCTTCCAGAAAGCCCTCAGCTCTCCTTGAGATCAGAGCTCATTTCACATGTTCAATATTTCATGGGAGAACAGAGGGGAAATACCCTTTAAATTCTCAGTCACCCTCATTTTTAAGTTAGGTTATGCCAACCATAAATCTTTCAGACCTTTTTCTTCTTCTCCTAAAATTAAAAATTAGGGCCTTTCATTTTGGTACTGGTAAAATTTATAGCATGTACCTGTGCCAGATTCAAATTTGTGCTTCAAGCAGGAAAGATCCTCCAGCATTGCCCGGCCAAGGGGAATTTCTCCCGGGATCAGGAAGATTTAGGACAGGGCTATGAATCCAGCCTAATTCCCAATTACTGCCTTTGGAAATCACCAGCCCTGTAGTCAGGCTGGACAAGGCAAAACCCCAACCAACCTACATGGTTTGCCAACGAAACAGAAACCTAATTCCCTGAGCCACCCCAGGCAGGAATTACAGCCCCTCTTTGGAAATCAAACTCCCTCTAAATGTGACCATGTCCCCAGGTGACAATGACAGATCTTTCATATTTAATGCCTGCAACAGGAAGGATTTACTGCCTTGGGAAGCTGGAATTTTGTCAGTGAATTCCCAAAGCAGGGAGCACTATTCCCTGTGCTCGTGGCAAATAAACACCCAGGTAACCAGAGGGAACACATCCCAGCAAACAGAGTTATTGAGGTGCAGTAAATTGGTGAGATAAGGGGCAGTATAACAGGATGGGAAGACAGAAATTTAACTTTCCAAGGAGCATCCCATGTGCTGGTGCCAGCTAATGGTGCTCCAGAGGGCAAACAAAGAGCAAGTACTTGTGCAAAGGGCAAAGCAGCTCTGGGGCAGGGCTGCCATGTGATAACACAACCATCAGACTGAGACTGTGATTATGCAAATCTCCACAGGCTGTGCTGGAATAATCAGCCAATTGTGCAGAATCAGCTGCACAGAAGAACTTCCCAAGTTTCCATGGATGGGGACGAGGTGCAGTGGGGAGGAGGGAGGTTGGCTTTCCAACATTCAGCTTTTGGTTTGCAGAGCAAGTTACTGAAGAGCAGCACCGGGAGAAAGGGAGACGTTTGCAAGGGGGTGTCACACACCCTCTGCTCTTCTCCATGGAGAACAGATAATGCCACAAACCCCCCCAGGCACGTTTGGCCAGCAGAGCCCAGCTCTTCTCCCAGGGGATTTGGAGAAGGGTCCTTATACCAATGGCAGAAGCAACAAAACCCAGGAGCTCGTTCCAGGTGGTGCATCAAAGGTGCTGTCGAGCCTGTGATCTGCCTGGAGCTCAGCAATTCTCCAGGCACATCATCTGACATTTAATTAAGGCCAAGGCCTTTATCATTCAAGCACATCACAGGGTTATTAAGAAGCCCAAATGTCACCAATGCCAGTGATGTGGCACTGGGGGTCTGCAAGTGTTTCCTGTGAGATTTGGGCTGTTTGGGTCAGAACTGACTCCTCACAGCTCCTCAGGGATTGTCACTGGAGAGAATCACAGGGGTAAGATTTGCTTTTATGGTTTGTAAAGCCATTTGCACAACCCTACACAACATGAAGTCCTTTTATGGCTTTACCCCAAATATCATTTGTCCAGTGACACAGGACACAACTAAATAACCAGAGTTTGATGTCCCAGACATGAATCCATTCCTGTTTCCTCAGGGCATCCTTCCTGCCCACACCTCGAGGGCCTATGACCACAGACAGAGCCACAAATATATCAGCTGAAGCTCTGCTTTCAGGTGTGCTGAGTATAAATTACCATTGCCATGAGGATAGAAAACACATAGAATCTGCTGAAATCACTTGAGATATCAGTGGCATTCATCCTTACATTGTACACACCTTGTACCTGAGAGAACACCTAGAAAATCCTACTAATACAATCCACCAGAAGGAAAAAAATCTTCTGCTTGGGTTACTGCAGTGGGACTCAAAAGCCCTGGAGTCACAGGTTTCCCCTCTGGCATTTTCCTCTAAGAAAGGACATGCAAAAGCAAACCAAATTAAAATTACCACCTGTGTTTTTTTCCACCTGGTTGGTCTCATTAATTTGGGAAACAAACTGCTCACCCAGGACTGGGACTTCCTCAAACATCTCCTCTTCAGGTAACATCCAACACAACAGATCCACAGCCTTAGGTCTGATCCCAGGACATGGAATAGGAAAGTTTAATACTAAACACTCTTGGAGGTCTGCCTGACATTACCTTGGAGGCAGCTGCATGAACTTAGGCTTGATTAACTGCTTAGCTGCCAGCTAACAGTCATACAGCTCAGCCTGTGAAAGTACTACAAGAGGCACAGCAGAAGTTGCAAAAAGATCTGCAGAAAACCCTGATAACATGATATTTTGAATTTCACCACAGAAATAGAAACATACAATCCAAACATCATTTGTTGCAGGATTGGTTGGGGAGGGGAGAGAGAAGAGAGGAAAAAGAGGATGGGACATTTTGGAGGATATTTGTGCTAAGATATCTGCACCAGCACAAACAGTATTAAAGTACCAATAGGTCTGGGTAAAACAAGCCTAAAACACAATCTCTAAGCTCTAAAAATTCATAGCAAGTGTTGTTATGGCATCATTGCAGAAAGCCAGGCTTTCTCCACAGCAAGTAAACAAACACATCCATCCTCAGAGCTGCCTGTCAGCAGGGAGAGGAAAAGGAGAACAAGTCTTGTAAAATCCCTTATCCAATGTATTAGACTTGGGAACTCAGGTATGAGGTAGGGTGAAAGCACAAAGCTCTGGGGCATTTCATGGACTGGTACTTCAGAGCACCAGGAGCCACCAATGTGAGAACAATTAATGAAAACAAGAGGCAAACATGGAAAATTTGGGATTAGTCATGTTACACACCACCTGCTTAACAGCCAGAAGGCAGAGACAAGAGAGAACCAGGCCCATCTGTAGAGACTCAAAAATGTATGAAAACAACTGGGGAAAGGATCAGAGCTGCCAGGTGCTACAATAACACAGACAACCACGGAAAGCAATGGAAAACAACAAACACTTTGTCCTTCATAGCCCTGACCACCCAAGCAGAGACCCACACACCTGAAGGTGCTCTGTGCTGCAGCATCACCCTCCAAACCAGCAAATCAACCTCCACTTGGAGTGCCCTGATTTTGAAATGGAAAAAAAATCACCACACGTGTTGTGTTCACACCAAAACACAACAGCAACTTCCACTGTCAGGGAAAGAGCAGCTTGTTCCAGTCCACATTTACCAAAAACCACACAATCATCCCAACCCTTGCTCATATTTGTGACTATTTGGACACAAAGCTTTGGAATGATCTCATGGGAAGCTGAGGCAGGTGTGCAAATGCAACAGGGGTCCAGTTTTCCCTTTGGAAAACACCGGGTTTTAGGAAAGAACTTAGGAAACAGGACAGGGAAAGGACAGTAAGGACACTGCAAACCAGGAGGTGGGATGGGCTATAAGGTGGTAGCTGTACATATTCCTCTCTTACCTGCTTCCATGAGCTGGCACTGCTGCCCAAAAACTTGTGAGAAGGTAACAGGCCCTGGTGCAGGGCTGGAGGTCACCGGAGGGGAGTCCATAGTTCTCTCAGCGTCCTCTGTGTTAGTCATGGAGCAGAGCCCAGCAGCTCTGAGAAGCTCCCGTGCCTCGCAGATCCTCGGTGGGCAGGAGGAGACCCCCAGGGAGCAACGGTGCCTCTCCCAAAACTCCCAGGATGCTCCTTTCCCTCTTTTCAAGGGGCAGGATCAGCACACGTTTTCAGCTGAGTGTCATCAGTATTTTCACTGAGGAAAATGAAGTGTCTGCGCGTCTCCCAGGTGGTTCTTATTTGTCCTGGGCAGGTCTGGTGGCTTCAGGCACAAATCAGCACCTGGCACTGAGGATTGGCCCCCTCGGGGGTTTCTGCCATGGTTTGAGCAAAGTCATGAGGTTCTTCTCCTCCCGAGGTGTCTGAACCCAGCAGCAGCTTGTCCGTGAGCCCGGGCACATCCCCTGCGGGAACACGGGAGTTTCCCAGGGCGGGATGCTGGAGCCGGGAGCCTCCGTTCTGCGAGGGCCCCGGATGATCTGGAGCACCGCAAGATCCTTCTTCCGCCTCTTTGCCTGCGGGGTCTTGGAGCCCGAAGCGTTTCAACCTCAGAGTTCACCGGAGGCTTCCAGGGGTACGCACGCCCCTCTGGTAACCTGCGGCCCCGGGCTGCGGCGTGCGGGCTCCGCTCGGGGGCTCCGGCGAGCTCCGAATCACCTCCCCCTCCGCTTTATCCGCTTCCCAGCAGCCGCGCCCCCCTTTCCCCCATGCCCAGCCGGCCGAGTGGGGAGGAGTACTTGGATCGCCACTGTGTAAGTCAACATCCTGTCTGCCTGCTGCCAGTGGCTGCCTTCTTGGCCGCCTCCTTCCCCTGCCCCGGATGCAGCGGCTGCTCCCGGAGCGCTCCTGGAGGCGCTTGGAAGTGCTAACTCAGGCAGGGGAACAGCGAATCGCCTGCCTCAGCCCTCTCCCGGCTGCCTTAACCCCCTCCCGGCTGCCTTAACCCTCTCCCGCCCACCTGCCCGCTGGGATGCTCAAGGGAAAGGGGGAAAGACGCCAGGGCTGGTACCCAAACCCGACCGCGGAGCCCACGGCTCTGCATCCCGCAGGGACGCCTGGCTGGAATTCCTTCAGTGTAAAAAAAAAAAAATCCAGGGTTGTTTGCAGGGACCAAGAGTTAACTCCCCGCAAAGTCTGACACCGCTGATTCATCCTCACTTTACAAACTCCCTCTGTCAATGCGAGGGATGCTCGCTCCGGGAGCTCCGCGTGAATTTGTCCTCCATGAGTCATCGGAGCTTTCTTTGGGAAGTCTGCTGGGAATGAAGGTTGTTACCTCACGGCCAGGAAAACACACCGTGCCCCGGGTGGAAATTAGAGACGGTCGGGTTAGAGCAGCAGAAAGGCCGGGGCAGAGGATGAGAGGCACCTGCGGGTACCCCCAATGCTGGGGGGGCAGAGCGGGGACCTCAGCCCCCCTGCAGCCGAAGGAGGCAGAGCGGGGACCTCAGCCCCCCTGCAGCCGAAGGAGGCACAGAGAGGCGGATTCACTGCCCAGGGACACCCGGGGAATTCTGAGCAGCGGGAATTGGAGTCACGTCTGCCGGTCTGTGCCGCAGCACAGCTCCTGGGGCTGGGGCGCTGCCCAGAAAATCCCAGCTCGGTCATTTTATTGTATCTATCCCCAGGTATTACAGAGTTTAAGGAAGGACTATTTTACAACGAGGGTGGGGAGGCTCTGGCGCAGTTGCCCAGAGAAGCTGTGGCTGCTCCATCCCTGTAAACACCCAAGGTCAGGCTGGACAGGGCTCTGAGCAATCTAATCAAGCTGAAGATGTCCCTGCTCATGGCAGGGGGTTGGACTCGGTGCCCTTTAAAGTCCCTTCTAACCCAAACTATTCTATGATTTAAATGGTTTTAGGCTCAGATTTGCCAGGGCAGAGTCCAAACAAACAACCCAGAGACTACTTTGCAGGTTTATTTTGCTAAAGACACAGGGAAGAATTTCTGTCCTCACAAGAACGAAGAGATTCAACTTGACCTTCTGGTTCTTCATATGGAGGAAAGCAAAAACTGGGCCATTTGGTCCACATGTCTTCAACATTCAGATATTCATTCTTGGGGCTGTTTTTTAACTTCCCAACTCTTTGCCTGTTATTCTCTCTCACCATGTCCCAGGAAATCCTCCCAGAGCTGTTTGGTAACTTGTCTGCAAAATCCACCAGAGCTGCATCGAGCTCTGAAATATTAAAGCTTAACTAAAAAAAAAAAAAAGAAAAAGGGGGGGGTAATTATGCAAGAGATTACCTGGAAGTCCCTTTTCCCTTTTTTCTTAGCAAAACTTTTCCAACTTCAAGACTTCAGCAGTTTTAGCATTGCAGACCAATTCACAGATACATTTTCCTTCCCCCCAGTTCTAATGTGCATTAGGAGAACACACTGGAGGTTCTTGAAAAGCAAAACAACTCAATAATCTTATAAAACCTTTATTCTGCAGGCCCTCAGGACCCTGTCACTGGAGGAGGGATGGGCACCCTGGGGATAAGAGAACTTCCCAGAGAGGGAATAAAGCAAGGAAATGTTGAAGCCTGTTTGCTGTTTGATTTCCAGAGGATTGTCCAGAGGAGCAGCAGTGCTGCCACCACCTCTGCTGCCCTCAGGGTCTGTGCTCTATGTGGGGCAGTGGTTACACAACACAACTCACTTCACTTCCCACCCTGTGCACAGGCTGCTGGCACTGGGTCAGCTCAGCCCACGGCCCTGAAAACCAGAGAGCCAGAAAACAAGCCCTTCTGTTTGGGCTGCTCTGGGGGCTGCACCTGCTCAGCATCCACTGCCTTCTCTCCCAGTGGCACTGGGAGCAGATCAGCAGTGCAGACACACCCAGGCCTTCCCTTTACTCTGGGCACAGGACAAGGGATGCTCCAGTTCAGCTCAGAATATTTTGCTCCTAAGAAATGACCCTCTGTGAGGTACAGAAGTGATATTTGCCACATACTTCACTGCAGCTCAGCTGGATTTTACTCACAAGCTGGCACCTGTGTTGCTGTGCCCAGTCCCACCCAGGATCCAGTGCCACATTTCTTCCTCTGGGCTTCTCTGTTTACCACAACAAGCTGAGGTTTATTGAACACGTGCAAGGTTCCTTAAGGTCCCCCATGGCCTGCAGGTTCCATGGTGAGCTCCATCAGCTGCACCCTGCACAGAAAATAACTACTCATAGAACAGATAACCTGATGATTTTTCCAAATTGCAATTTCCAAAGCTGATTTTTCCAAAATGGAAAAGGAGGGGCTCTGGGCACCCCCAGCCCATGCTGGCAGCAGCACAGGAGCAGTTCACATGGGGACAGAAGAGCCTTGGAAAACACCAGCTCAATGGAGATCTGCTTCCCTTCCATATCCAATTATCCCACTGAACAGACAACAATATGCCACAGGAAAATGTCTGAAAGGGAGAGAAGAAACTCGGCTCAACTCATTACATCAACAGAACAGGCAGTTCATTATAGTGGGACTTCACTGCTCCACAAATACCCTGGGTAAGAAATGGGGTTATTCACAACAATGTTCTTGGTAGCAAAGGCTTCAGGAATGGGGAAGGGCTGAGGAAAGAACACTCAGATATTGTCCCTAATGAGATGTCAGCAGCTCCCAGTGGTAACGAGGGAGAGCTCATTTGTTGTGTGTCAGAAGTCAGAGTTTCACTGGTACAAGGCAGAGACTCTGGGGAAAAAAAATAGCAGATAAGGATTTTTGCATTTGCTTCCAGCACAGCACTGTGTCAGGGAGGGCTGGCAGAACCACAGGCTGGATCCATGGGGGTGTATGGATGGGATTATTCCCCAGCAGATTATTCCCCACTGAGATCAGCTCTGGAATGCTCCTGCCCTTCTGCTGCCTGTGCTGTGCAAGGCAAATGGAGTTTTGTAGGACTCACTTTGAAGCAATGCACTTAAGGTTTGGCATCACAGGCAGCAATTAAACATATTTCTGCCTTCTTTCAGATTACATCTCCATCAGCTCTTGGCTGAAAGAGAGTTTTGTTTGGTTGAGTTTTATTCTTCCTGAAAAAAAAGTCTGAAAGGCACAGAAGAAAATCACCTCAGTTGTGCAGAGAGAAAAAAATCCTACTCCAAAGGACTTAGAGGATATTTTGGGTGGTTTATCAAAAGTGAGGCTGAAGTATGGCTTAATTAATGTATAAATATCCTCGTAGAACAGAAATACCAACTCTGAAAGGGCTCTAATCACTCAGTGCTGGGCACAAATACAAGCTGAACTCAGATACAGACAGTACTACAGGAAATAATCTGGATATTTCACTTCTCAAGGTTAAATGAAGAGCATCCCTGAATCAGTGCACCCCAGGTAAGCCTGAATCACTGCACATGATAGAGGAACCCACAAATGAAATTCAGGGAGTCTGTCAGTTAAAAACTCCAGCTGTAGGAAAATTCAATATATAAAAGAAACATATTGTGCAGATGACAGGAAGGGAGTTTAATAATAAACACCATGTTTTATAGTCCACATTTTCTGGTGTAATGTTGGTCCCCACAGAAGTCTGAAGCCCAGGGCTTCAGCTGGAGGGGTGTAGAGGCCCAGAGAAGCTGACTTTAGGTGAGGAGGAGATGAGCCTGGAGTTAACACCCTCTCACAGCTCCCTGTGCAGCCACAGACACTGGCACAGCAAGGGCAAAAAAAATGAACAGAAAAGAAACCAAGCTGCTGGAGGCAAGGTGACACAAAACTTAGCAGAGCAGTACAAAAAGGGGGGGTGGGAGCTATTTGCATTAGTACTTCATATCTGGAGATATATGAAATATTTCCAGAGCTGTCTAATCTCTATCAACTGCCTTGCCTTCTTCCAAGGCAGCTGCAAAGGAAGCCACAAACCAAGCACGGCACGGGCTGAGCTCCCCCTGCCCCGGAGCCCCGGGTGGCCCCTGCTCTGCCTCCCTGGGAATGAGGCAGGATTGTTCAGGTCCCTGGGCCACAGAGTGCTGTGCTGTGCTGTGCTGTCACCTCCCCAGGGAGCTCATCCCTGCCCCATCAGGAGGCTCAGTACTGCCCGGGCCAGCCCTGGGGGAGCATCCGCAGGGTCACCGCCCCGAGGGGACCCGCAGCCTCTGAGCTCGATGTGAGCCAGGCACCCCCAGGAAAGGCTCAAAGGCTCCACTGCTCCCAGGGAAACGGGAACAGAACCCAGGGAAATGTTGCTCAGCAGCTCTGGTGCTATTTTCTCCCCGGCTGTGTCTCGGGGGGAGCTCAGGTGTGATGTGCTCGTGCCCTCCGTGTCCAGTTTTCTCCTGAGCATAAACAATCCTCTGTATGTCCTACGGCCCTGAAAGAGTATTTACAATTAGCACTGGCATCAAAGACTGAAACAGCCCACTGGGTTTCCTAACTGGGGTTTTGGGAGGGGATCCTGCCACCAGCAGTCGTGTTGTCTGCACCCTTCT